AAGTTCAGGTGTTTACCTATGCTGCCATCTTAGAATTCACCGTTTTAAATACCTAGCGCTGTGCTGGACATAACACGGGTACTTCATAGAGCCATGTGGAATGAGCAAAAGGATACTAGAAATGTAACCTTGTCTGGCAGAAGACAGTGGGATTTTCATTTTTAACCCTTGTGGAATTGATTATTCTGTTTCTCATTTGGCCACACCATCTCCCTGCCAAAGCCTGAAATCATCCCCATTATTATTATAGCAAATACATCTATGATAAGCAATGACCTTTAACTCAAGCTGCATGTGAGAAGAGGAAAGATTATTAAAGTAGAACTGAATTTCAATCTTTGATAACTTCTTCATGCCTCCACTTGGGTTTAACAACAACAAAACAACTCCCGCTGGTATCATGAATACTACTATTTATTAAGTATTGACCTAGAACCAGGGGATGTGCTCCAGGGTCTTACATTCATCACAGTATTTAATCTGCATTTGAAAGTCAGGTCTTATTACCTGCACTTTAACCTGGCTCAGAGACACCAAGTTTCCTGTCCAATGTCACACAGCCAGTCAGGCAGAGTTGGAAGAGGGGTAATGACTGTTTTAAGTGCTCAATGGCCGGCCTTCCATCAACAGTAGCTATTAAGATAATGCAGGAGTCCTTGGGGCACCTAGCACAATGAGTGCACAGTATCTTAATATGAGTAAGCTTATAAAATCAATTCCCTCCCTTTCTCATAAAAAAGATAGGCTGCCTAAAAGCTATCTCTGCTCGAGGGAAGAGGAAACTTAGGGATGGGTTGGGTTGAAAATGTGGGAAGTGATCACATTGTTCCAAAATTAAAATTGTCCTTTGAGAATGTACTCTTCAACATTCAGCTATGGGGGTGTGTGCCCATGGGGAATAGGAAACAGGCTAAGACACACTTTATGAATTCCACAATTTACCCATGGTGTGCCTTGATGTGTTATATAGATAGGCTTGACTATTACTAAGAACAAAATGAAACATTCTTTCTTGCTCTGCCCTTAGAGAAATCTGTTGCCATATGTTCAATCTTTGGGCCAGTGTGGCATCCCTCAGTGTTTCAGCGAAGAGCTGCCAGAAGAGAACCGTTACACCAGCAGTGTTATCTGCTGACATGAAGGACAGGAATACACTTACTGCCTAGACTTGGCTTTTTGCCTCTTATTAAGGCACCAGCAGGGCTTACTGACAACCTCCCTGAGACACGCTTGCTTACTCCAGCACTATTCAAATCTATGTTATATTGCTTTGTTTCCTTCAAGCCTATTTTTTTTTTAATCTCACTTTTCATTTGTTTATCTCCCAGACAGTAAAGGATCAAGAAAGCGTACAGAGCAGAGGATGTTAACCAATCTTGAACCAAATCCCTGGTGTCTCGAAAAGATACAAGAGAGGCCCTGACACTTAATTTCTTGAGGCTTCAAGTAGATTAAAAAGTAAGTATGACTAGCCCTAGCTGGTTTTGCTCAGTGGTTAGAGCATTGGCCTACAGAATGAAGGGTTCCGGATTGAATTCCTGTCAAAGGCACATGATTGGGCTGCAGGCTTGACCCCTAGTAGGGGGCATGCAGGAGGCAACCAATCAATGATTCTCTCTCATCATGGATATTTTCTATCTCTTTCTCCTTCTCCCTTCCTCTCTGAAATCAATAATATATATATTTTAAAAAGTAAGTATGCCTAAATTAATAATATATATATTTTAAAAAGTAAGTATGCCTAAAGAGGGCTAGCAAAATAATAATTATTATTTTTTTTTTACAATTTACTATAATAAATGAACATCTTAGCACAAAATAATATAAAGCAATACTGTGCAAAGAATAAGATATACAGTGTTTATTAAAACATACCAGTTCAGGTTGTGTGGTCCATCCATGGGTCACAAGGTTAAAGTTGTCTGGTGAATGTTTTCTTTTTTCATTCCTTAGAGTGTGTTTCTGAGTGTATGTGTAATCTAATTTCAAAGAGAAGATTCATTGTAGAAGTTTGCAGATTGCTAGGGATGTGCATGCCCAGCCCTGTGACTCCTGGTTCTTCTCTTTACAGGTCCTCCCCAGACATGGAATGCAAACCTTTAAGCTGGTGTGTTCATTTTCTAGATTTCATAAGATTCTCTAAGCAATCCATTCTCTAAAAGGTTAAGAACTAGACTCAAAGCACTGCCTAATCTATGAAACCCAGATCAATGATCAGAGCTCCTCATTTTGAAAATTCAGAATACTTTTTAATGTAAATTGTTTTAGCCTTTCAATTTAACTTAATGTGAAAAAGTCTTTTAAGTGACTTGCTGTTTTCTGTTTTCAAATATGTAGCAATCTTGAACTTACTATTGTTTTTAACTTGCCTCTTCTCTATTGCTATTCTAGTATATGGAAGGTTAAAAACAAGATATTGATCAGACTGAATGGTCTAAACCCCACCCTGTTACTCCAATGTTGTGTAATCCTGTGGGAATGTTTTCTTTCTGATCCTCAATTTCTTTAAAATGAGTTGGTGATTTTCATTTCTCAAGTTCCTTTTAGCTTTAAAAAGCTATAGTTTTTCTCACTCCTATCCTCCACTCCCTCTCAAAATGTCTCCAGAATATTTTAATATCCAGTCTCCAAAGCTGTTGTCATGGTATACTGGCCTGCTCTGTTAGAGATAAAACATTTGTTTACTTCTAACTACAACCAAATCCAATACTTAATAGGCATAGATTCACACTTATTTCTCCCTTTACCTGGTGGCAACTACATTTTTTTTAAATGTTCATTTTGTCATTATAGTGTACAGTGTGTTTCCAACATTCAAGCCACTACAAAAACTTTAAAATAAAATAAAAAACAAACAAACAATGGCTCCATTAAATTTCCAGATGCAGATCTGCACCGATAGCTTAGGGACAGTAGATGGCGATGTAAGTGCATCAAATAATAAACATTTCCTTGATTGGTCCAACATTAAGACCCAAAGATTTAGGCCAAAACAGATTAGTAGAGTAGTTAAGAAACAACATCATATATACTCAGGTGTTGGAGTTTTAGATGAAATTTAGAATGTGTTTCCTAATCTGATAGTTTTGGATAATAAACTATTGTAGTAATTCATGCTACTGCGAAGTCTACCTTCAAGCTAAATCTTGAGGGAAAGTTGGCAATAAACACATGTGTCCTATAAATTGTATCTGAATTATAATCTCCATTTTTGTTTTTTTAATAGTAATTGTTTGGGATAAAGTGTGGCTCACATATATTATTCATAGATGAAGTACTATATTCTTATTAAGAATGTGAGTCCTAAGGCACTGGTGTTTTAAAGGGGAAATGGCAGATTTACTGTAAACTGTTGGCTAGCCCATTATTGACTGGCAGGACCAACTGGAAGCACTTTGTTAGTGGATTATGTTGCCCTGGAAATGCCTTCCTGAAACTCTTAATGATGCACTTAAGGGAGTCCTTTGGGACAGGAGTAAACTATCTCTTAGACGCATGTCTTCCATCAGGGACCTCTGGGATAAGTGGGCAGGGGTGTGGCACATCCAAGGAGATGCTCAGCAAGGAAGCAGCTCCAGAGAAAGGTTGTAGGTTACAATTCCTCACAGGTAAGCGAAGATGATGACTTACTGGTGTAAACTGTGGGCTTTCTGAGGGTAACTGTGCTTCTGCTTCATGTATTCTTTTGAAAAGGCATTAATTCCAGAGAGACTAAATATTTATTTACTTATTTATTTATTGGGGGATTGGCAGAGGGATGGAACAGGAGGAGAAAAAAAGAGAACATGGTTTAATGTACCTTTGGTTAAAAAAACACAGCAAATACTTTATAGAACCTTGGGGTCATTAGGTGTTTTTGTTTTGTTTTGTTTTGTTTTGTTTTTGTTTTTTGTTTTAAAGCAAGCTTAAAGGAACATACCCTTCAGCTGAAATTCAGTGCCTGTACAAAAGGTTTGTTTGTAGATTTGTCAAGTGAAAAAATCACTTGCGTTTATCTCTCCACAGGTTTGGGGGGTTGTTTCTGGGGGATGGTGGTGGCAATGGAGGTCAAAAGAGAAGAAAGCGCTAAGCAAAGGCCCTGGAAACTCCGGACTTCAGACTGGGCAGGGAGGGAAGTGGCCGCGCTGTGTCCCCGCCCCAAGCCCTGAGCGAGCGCTCCCGAGTCCCTTGCCCAAGGCAAGCGCACTGTGTCCCTGTGCCATCCCAGCAACCTGTCACCGTGGAGGACGTGACTGGAGCTGCCTCCGCTTTCTCCAAGCCATATTCCTTTAAGATGATGTAATAGTCATTTCCCTGGATGGTTTCTTGCCTGCACTGCTGAAACAACAGCAGCCCAACTGCACTGGGAACTGTGGAACCGCCCAGCTCCGCCGCCTGCCTGAGAAGCAGGAGCCCAGACCCGCTGGCTTCTCTGCGCTTTGAAGGTGTCAGATCCCACCGGCTCCTGCCGGCTTCACCAGCTCAGCTCTTACCGGCTCCGCACGGCTCCCAAAGGCTCCCACCTAGCCAGGAGCATGGGAGCCTGTTCGCCCTTGCCGGCAGGTGGGGTGGCTACCTGGGACCCCAGCAAGGCACCTCCGTTTTGCTGCTGCTGGGCTTTCTGAAAAGCTGTCCTGATACCTCTTGCAACTCCTCCGTTTTAAGGATTCTTGCCGAAGGTTTGATCTCCCTCCCCTCCACTTCTCTGGAGACGCTTTGGTTGAATATTTTTCTCTGCTTCTTCAAGCCAGTCATTGCTCATCACGGTTTAACTTTTTGTGACTTGTTTTAACTTGAGATTGGAAATGAATATATACATACATACAAATATACATTTATATAAATATATATAATTTTTTTTCAAAGATCACATCTCTGGCACTTTTCATTGATAGACTCAGTGTGGCTGTGCATTCTGACCGTTTTGCTAATGGGTATTTTATTCACAGGACTGAGTTTCCAGCACTTCCTAAGGTAAGTTCTGAGGCTTATTGATTTTACTGTCCAGAAGGGGGGAAAAAAATCCCATCTTAGAAGCTTAAAATTGCATATTACTTTTAAAATTCAGAAATGCAAATAGAAATGTTTTTGATATTAATTGCTGGAGACAGATGTGTATGGATAAACATGTAGACACAGAATAGCTTGAGAGAAGCTATTTTCTGGGAGAATGGCTAAAATCAGTAGTTCCAAGGCTGCTTATGTAAAATACTTTCCTCCCTTCCTCCCATCATCCCTCCCTCCCTCCCTCTACTTCCCTTTTCTCTCCCCTCCCCTCTCCATCAGCTCTCTCTTTTTCTGACTCATGCTGGGTTTGAGGAAATAATTTTCTCTCTTTTCTTTTATACAGATCTCTGAGTAACTGGGGACTTGGCCTGCCTTGTCTACTGAGCCTGGGGGAAGATTGAATGGAGATGAGTTGATTATATTCCATGAAGTCATAGCTCACCACCAGCCAGGGTTTCAACTACTTCACCTGTGGACTATTCTAAATTTTGCTTTCTTGGGGAAAAATACTGGGGTAAGAGGAGGTCATTTCTAACAAGTTAGCATCCTTCTTTCTCCCTCCCTTTCAAGTTGATATAAAGGATAAGGCTGTGACTCCTTTTGATTGCACCTTCAAATCAAAATAGGAGGAGGAGAACAAGAAAGGGATAATGGCTCTGAGTGGAAACTGTAGTCGTTATTATCCTCGAGAACAAGGAGCCACAGTTCCAAACTCCTTCCCTGAAGTCATGGAGCTGAATGTTGGCGGTCAAGTTTATTTCACTCGTCATTCTACATTAATAAGCATCCCTCATTCCCTCCTGTGGAAAATGTTTTCCCCAAAGAGAGACACGGCTAACGATCTAGCCAAGGACTCCAAGGGGAGGTTTTTCATTGACAGAGATGGATTCTTGTTCCGTTATATTCTGGACTATCTCAGGGATAGGCAGGTGGTCCTGCCTGATCACTTTCCAGAGAGAGGAAGACTGAAAAGGGAAGCTGAGTACTTCCAGCTCCCAGACTTGGTCAAACTCCTGACCCCTGATGAAATCAAGCAAAGCCCGGAGGAATTCTGCCATAGTGACTTCGAAGATGCCTCCCAAGGAAGTGACACGAGAATCTGCCCTGCTTCCTCGCTGCTCCCTGCTGACCGCAAGTGGGGTTTCATTACTCTGGGTTACAGAGGGTCCTGCACCATGGGCAGAGAGGGGCAGGCAGATGCCAAGTTTCGGAGAGTTCCCCGGATTTTGGTTTGTGGAAGGATTTCCTTGGCAAAAGAGGTCTTTGGAGACACTTTGAATGAGAGCAGAGACCCTGACCGAGCCCCAGATAGATACACCTCCAGATTTTATCTCAAATTCAAGCATCTGGAAAGAGCTTTTGATATGTTATCCGAGTGTGGATTCCACATGGTGGCCTGTAACTCCTCAGTGACAGCATCTTTCCTCAACCAGTATACAGATGACAAGATCTGGTCAAGCTACACTGAATATGTCTTCTACCGTAAGTGCAAAGGGTTCTTTTTATTGTTCATTTGTATTGATTCTCTTTACAGATGTGTATGGTCTGCATGTTCTGTCTGTGACTAAGGAATATTACTTTGGGATTTTTATTTTTTAATTGAGGTAGAGCTAGAGTATTAGTTTATAATTGTGCTCTCTTGTGTTACCTAAGGCAACTTTATCTGTTTTTCCAGTGAAGTCACAGAATATTCAAAGGCCTCAAAATTACAAGATGCAAATGATATTGGTATTATGTGGAATTAAAACAGACATGTATATCTGTTTGCCAGATGTTGAATTGTGACGTTATGGCAATGATTAGAACTTGGCTGTTGGTCCATGGAGGTTGGTAAACTCGGAATAGGTGAAGTACTGCTGTCTATTTACTTACCTGAACTTTGGGATCTATTAAGCTAGTTGTTGAAGACTTGCTTTCATCAGGAGCTTTGAAAACACAAATGGATAATATACTGAATCACGAGATTTTGGCTAGATGGCAGTATACACTGATGAAAGACTCCCTTTCTTACCCTCCCCCCAAGTCTAAAATTTTCTTTTATAAGCTTCTGCTTGATTCTTCAGTAATTTGTACTGAGACTTGAGTTGCATTGCAAACTTAAGCTGAACTTCATTTAAGATCCACCTAGTAGGAGTTAGGTCCTTGAGAATTGTCAATCACATGCAAACATCTAGGCAGCTGAGGTGATAGAATTACTGACTTAAAAGGAAACCAGAGGGAAAAAGGAAAGGAGACTATTATATTGAAGTTTTTGAACTTGGTTTCTTAGAGGTCGGTCCATTTGCCTAAATTAAAACTTTCAATACAGATCGTTTTGACTTATGAAATAGCATTTTTTTAGATAAATTGTAAGCCATTGACCTCCAAAAGGAGAATAGCAAGTCAGTATGTGAAGTCTAGTGCTCGATTTGACTGCTGATATTCAGCTGGCCTGGGAGTTGGGAAGTGAATTCCATAAGAAATATGTTTCCAGTGTTAACATTTGATTTCCTCTCTTCTCATTTAAAGGCAAACCCATACATTTAGGGGGTTAAAATGTCCAAATTTATTTGAACATAAAAGAACAAACGAATTTCTTGGACTCAGTTTTGCATACAGTTTGTATTTATTCCTTTGGAGGTGGTGCTGGGAGTCTTGCTGAATTGCTGGTCAGTGAGAAGCTGAATTGTTCTGTACTGGGTTAACATTCATCGGGTTTTTTAGAAGTCAGTTCCTATGTATGTGGAGAAAGGACAGCCTGTGGAGATATGTGAAATCAGTAATCAGGTCTGTAGCATACTAATGTGCAGTAATAAGCATGATTTGGTCCAATAATGCTATCTATGGCACTTACCTATAATTATATCTTCCTCTGTGCTGAAGCTCAGTTGCCAGATATCAGACACTGCTTTCTTCCTTCTGGTGAATTTCCCACTAGTGTAGAAATAAGACTAGCTTTTTAGCCTTCTGTAAGGGAATCTGATATTATCTGTGATTATGTAGAACAAATATCTTCTCACTTTATGGAAAAATGCACCTTAGAGTTCAAATCTAGGTTTGTGATATTTATCTTGTTCTCTGATTTCTAATATTTGGAATGGCATCTTAAAAAGTTTCAGTCAAATAAAATCACAATAACTCTATCTCCCAAAAGACCACAATAGGTTTTTAATCACTTGTATTTCTAAATGAGACCCAGAAACTGATTTGTATTTACCTATAATCTCAGTGACATTTCTGTGTCAAAGACTGATTAAAGACTCATGCATCTAACACTGTGTGCCTTCTTTAGGATGCTTTGGATGGGTTCTGTGCTCCTGATCATATAATTATTTCTCTCTTTGTTGGGCTGCTGAGAGATTGCTCTGCATCCCTCTGGTCAGGCTAGCACAAACACACAGCAACTTTTTATTGCCCAGCATATATGCTGCACATGACATACTTCCCTTTGTGCCTAATACCCAGAGTTCACTGTTAACTCTTTCTGTTTTAAGACCAACAGGACTGACAGCTGGCTTTCTAGGGTCCATAACAGCTTCCATGAAGCTGCTTAGCCATAATTATTTAATTAGGAGCTGCCAACTGTGCCTGTATAAGCACAAATCCATCAAACTGTTGTACTCTGGTTAATAGACCAAAACTATGGCGGTGCTCTAAAGCTGACTGTATGCAATCTTTGTCCAGCAAGAGCTAGCCCCAGTGAGCCCCACAGAGAGGTACAGAGCCCCAGGCTACAGCACAGATGTGGAGCTGAGAGCCCAGAGGGCAGGAACTGCAACCTGCAGTATTCCAAAGGGCAGCACGGATCCCAGGGAGTGCCCCTGCATCCTCAGAATACTAGCCAACACACATACACACACACGCTTTTCACAGAGAAATTCAACTACTTAGGTTACATATTATATATAACAAATATATATAAGTTTATACAAAATTAACTCCAAGCAGTCAGACTCTTCTAATAACCCAGGGATAATGCAGAATCACTTTGCCTGGGTTCATATCATAGTAAAAAATAAACAATGAGAAATTAATACATTATATATAGTAGTTGGCAGTCATGGGGGATTACCCCTCTTTCCCTGTTTACTGACTTTCTCCTTTTCATTTTCCAAGGGAAAATTGGGAGACCAAAATTTCTTGTATTATTAAAAAGGCTTGATTCTTGCTTTATTTAATCTTCATGTAAATCTAGAATTAATGGTCAGCATCAGGTAGTTTTGACTATTTAGGTAATGTGGAATTATGAACAGTCAATAGGTGTTGCTTTGGCCAGTGTGGTTCCGTTGGTTGAATGTCTTCCCATGCACCAAAAGGTTGTCGATTTGATCCCTGGTCAGGGCACATAATCAGGTTGCAGGTTCTACCTCCAGCCTCCCTAATTGGAGAACGTGCAGGAAGCAACTGATAGATGTTTTTCCCTCACATGGATGTTTTTATCTTGTCTCTATCTCTGTCTCTGTCTCTGTCTCTCCATCTCCCCGTCTCTCTTTCCAAAATCAATAAAAACATATTAAAAATGCCTAGCTGGCATGGTTCAGTGGTTGAACATCTGAACCAGGGGTCAGGGTTAGATTCCTGGTCAGGGTACATGGCAGGGTTGCTGACTACATCCCCAGTGGGGGGCATGCAGGAGATAGCTGATCAATGATTCTCTCTCATCTTTGCTGTTTCTATCTCTTTCTCCCTTCCCTTCCTCTCTAAAGTCAATAAAAATAGATTTAAAAATATTTTTAAAAGCTAACAGGTGTCCGCACTATGCGTTTAAGAGGATGATAGAAATGTGTTTGCATCGCTTACACACTAAGATGATATGTGAGATGCTAAGGATTATAATTTATGTATCAGCAACATAAAGAATGTGATATAGGAACATAGAAATGCTTATCCTAATAGTGCCTTACAAAGTATTTTAGATAACTGCTTTGTTTTAATTTAAAAACAATAAGAAAGTTTCATTTTCTCCTTACCCACTCAATTAGCTAAATCATTACTTTCTCTTCTCTTCTCTTCTCTTCTCTTCTCTTCTCTTCTCTTCTCTTCTCTTCTCTTCTCTTCTCTTCTCTTCTCTTCTCTTCTCTTCCTGTGTTGTATAGAAAGAAATGTCATAAACATTAGAGAATCCTTCTTGATTCATCTCTGAATGAAATGGGAGCTAAAGAGGTTTAGAAAGTAGAAGTCCTGATTTTAAACCAGATACGTACTCAGTAGTCATTCACACCACTTAGGTGCAAAAATCACAGGTGCATGGAAATAAATGAACCTCTTATTTAGAGCCATCTTCCAATTTCAGAGAGAGTGGGAATTGTTCTTGGTTGGAGAGAATTATGCACATTTCCTTAATCCTGTTTATGAGTCAGTTACTTCAGGCAAATGCCCAAAAGCACTCAGATTGAAAGGCATTCGCCTCTCATAAAGCCATGATAACATGACCACAAGTAGGGAGTTAATTCATAGGATGATTACTCTAAGTTCTGTGAATTACAGATAGAGACACAGAGTCTTCATTTTTTATAACAAATTGCATCTTGTAGGTACATTTTAACCTTTTTTCTCTTTGTTTCATTTTCTTAAATTTAAAGGGTTGTTGTCACAAATGTCTCTAAGTTGCTTCACCTACACAGTAAATATGTTCAGGGCTATTGACTTCGAAGGGGTGTTGGAGAAAAGTAGATCAGGAAATGATTTCTCCTTAGAATGTAGCATGGCCTTCTTTTGGGAAGGAATATTGTTCTGGCTACTGTGATTTACCCAGTGCTGCCTTAGCCAGGTTGCTAAGTGGTTAAAGCATCAGACGGAGGACTGAAGGATTGAGAGTTCGATTCCAGTCAAGGGAATGTGCTTCGGTTGCTGGCTTGATCCCTGGCCCCAATCTGGGCATATCTGGGGCAACCAATTCATGTGTCTCTCTCACATGAATATTTCTCTCTCTCTTTCTCTACCTCACCCTTTCACTCTCTCTAAAAATCAGTGCAAAAAGTATCCTTTGGTGAGGATTAACAACAAAAAGCTCAATAGTGAAATCATATAGAATTTTTTTTTTTTTTGTCTAACTTATTTCACGTAGCATAATACCCTTTAGGTCCATCCATGTTGTCACAAATGGTAAGATTTCATTGTTGTTGTTTTTTTTATTTGCAAGTAATATTCCATTGTATATATATCCCACATCTTCTTTATCGACTTACCTATTAATGAACACTTAAGCTGCCTCCATATCTTCTTGGCTATTGTAAACAACACTGCAGTGAAAATAAGGGTGCACATATCTTTTTGAATTAGTTCAGATACATACCCAGAAGTGGACTTCTAGGAAATGAATGTCAACTGCAATTGAAAAAAAAGTATTTTAAAGCTTCAATAAGAGGGTGTGTTTTTATAGGAAAACAGGTGGAAATGCATCTGTCCTTAAATGATTCTAGCTCTTTTTCTCTTGGTTACTTGAAAAACACCAATTATGACTTAAATTTTTATTGTCCATAGAGATATGATAGTTGGCCCCT